GTGACCTCTCAGTGTACATGTATTTATACTAACTGTATATCTGTCACTACATATAGATATGTCAGTGACCCCAGTGTATTTTATTCTGTTAGAAGACTTTTTCTGAGTTTTGTTGCAAGATGAAGCAATGTATCAGGATTATTTGCGCGTGTGTGTGTAACTTTTTATTATTTTAGTATTATATTAAATAAGCTGTGAAGTTGCTGTATTATTATTATTATTACTTACATTAATATTTTCTTGGCAGATTAATCATTTCTCTTCCCTCTGTTGCTCAACATTTACTGGTGCTTCTCTTTGGAACATTCCATACCATTGCCACTTCAGCTGAGAGGGCCCAAACTGGCATGTCCTCAGAAGCTCTTGGGGTCAGTGTTGCTCCCAGTTTTTTTCAGTCATGTGTTAGTAATGGAAAAATGGCGAAGATGGAAGATGTCATCAGATTCAAGGTTGGAACCTTTTACGTATTGCATCAATCACAATAATCATGTTCCTAACATAAATCTTCATTATTTGTTTCAATGTCAGTGTCTTTAATTAATTGAAATTTCTGTGTCAAGTAGAAATATTCACCTTTTTTCATTGTGCTTCATTTTCAGTAAGTATATTAGTGGTTAACACTAGGGTTAACCACATTCCAAAAATTTTAGCATGCATGTAACAAACCTTTTTAAACATAATTGTATTATAACTTTTTAATAATTGGTATTTTTAGTAACATGTCTTGATAAAGAGTTTTGTTTTAGGACTATGTTCTACTCATTAATATTTGTGATAATTTCACAAAACACATCCTGCCATAGTGTTTATTTTTACCACTCCAGATATAAGAAATTTCTTTTTACAAAATTGAATTTTTTTTCATACAAGTAGATAAATATGATTTTTAGAAAATATTCATATTTCATTGTCATGGTTAGTAATCTTATACAATCACAGAAGTCTAATTATTAGTTAGGTACTAATTTTGTATTTTTTATTTCTAGATACTAATTACTTAATAGTTTCTATCCTACTAATCTGCTATCTTCCGCAGGGAGTTCCTGAAAAGAACTGTTTGTGGTATTGAGGCCAGAATTTGATCCTCAGTCTTTTTAGAAAACTTGATGTTTTCTACTGGATTGGGATTAGAGCTTTAATCTAACTAATTATAGGAATTGCTTCAGCAGAGGTATCCTGGTTTTTCTGACTTCTGTATCTGGTTTACTGAGTATGTTATTAGTCATTTGGATATAGAAGGCTTATTTTATGTTTAGTTTCTTGTATGTGTTTCCTATCTCGTTAATTTTGTAATTTTGTGTCATCTTATATGGTCGTCCTCTGACATGATGTTCTGTTGCAAAGAGATCCCTATAAAAAAAGTCTTGAATGTCTATTATGCATTTGAATCTTGACACTTATTCTTTTTGTTTCTCCAGTATATTAGAGTTCAGATTCACAGGGTATGTTTTAAATTGTGTTGTGACTTCTGAATCCATTCTGATTTTATGCTGTTTACATATCCTTTGTATATTTTTCAAGAGGCCTTTGTCATAGAAGAATTTGAATGTGTGTTTGCAATTTTTCCAGCTTATTCTTTGTGTTTATCTTTTTTATTTTCTTCTTTATATAACTTCCAAGTATTCATTTTCATGGAGGGCTTTAGTGATGTGTTTTTTTTTTCTTCTTAGTATCTTCTGTATTACAGATTTTGTTCATTCTGAGACTAAGTAGTTTATAATGCTCATATTTACAATGTTGGGTTTGTTTGATTAATAATTGAGATATTTACCAATATCTTTGGGTTTCGTGTAAGTTCCTGTAGTTTATGAGTAATGTGTCTTGGTAATTGTCACATCTATAATTGAGAATTTGTTATCCTCTTCTATTTCCATTGTGTATTGTTTCTTAGGGTATTATCTGTTTAAGTTGTTAATGAATTCTGGAATCTTTTCTAGTGTGTGACCAACTCTTGGATCTTAGAGTGATTGCTTTGAGGACATTACCTTCATAATGTTTCACATGGAGGTTATTGAGTACTGTTGATATTATTAATGAGTCCAGGGCTAGTTCTTTATGTTGTTGGTAGTATTTATCTTCAAATTCGAAATAAGCTGTGTTAATTTAGAATGTTCTGAGTTCTATTACCAAGAAGATTGTTATTTGAATGTTCTTGAAAGTTCTATTTTCAAGCTGTTAACAGAATATCTGTAGTGTTTCAAGGGTTTTTACGTTAGTGAATAGGTTGGTTACTTCAAAGGAGATCATTGTGTCTTGTGTGATGATTGTTTTATAATATCTACAAAGTGGATTGAGTTCTCAACATATGTGGATATTTTGCTTTTAATGGTGATATTATCTACAAGATATTTCTACATATAGGGTGGCAGGGTGCATCTTTATGGGATGGAGAGGCTAGACTTGCTTGTGAATATTGAGCAGGCCTGTAGATGTGTGCACTGGTGTACTGATAGTTGTTTTGCTGTTTCTGTTCCGTTGTCATTTGGGTTTTTTTGAGGAGTTGGGTAATGTTTTTTCTGTGTTAGTTGTTGGCATAGACTTGATTTCCGATGCGGTACATTACCTTCACTCATAAATAGCTATTCTCATTCAGTACTGCCCTCTATATGCAATGTTTTCACATGCCACAAGCCTTGAGCTCCCACGTACCCTACGATCAACATGGTTCAACTGCATCTCACATGTAAATCATCATGCAACAACTCTCCACCAGTAGGAGTGCGACTCCCCCTATTTGATTCTACCAAACTATCACTTCTTGTTTGGGAGTGCTCATGTCAAGACGTTTTTATTGTGCTCTTTAATCATGTTTTTGTCTTTAAACTTAGTACATTTTTTTTCAAAATTAATTCCGAAGTGGAATTGTTTTTTTAAATTTTACAAAAGTTTGCGAACTTCAAGATAATTTATTTTTCACAGTTTTCATTGTTTATTATTCTAACACTGTGGTATTTGATCATTCAGTGTTACCATGAATTCAGAAGTCCAAGTTACCACCTTGGAGTAATACCTTCTACCAGCGAACTTACACAGGCTGCAGGTGATGGTAACATAGCTATGGAATTATTGGCTCTCATCTGCTGTGAGATTGGTCATTGTTTAGAGTCAACCTGCTTTTCTTGATGTTGCCCATATTCCTACTAAATATATTCCTCCTCTTCGGGTCAACAAGGAATTTGACAGCCTTTTTTCTCTACCTGATTTTACCATGTCTTCCTATGCCCCTACTGTAGAATCAGCTAGGCCTGATACGGCTTTTTTAAACATGATTTCTCACGAGTTTTCTTTTTATAAATTTCTCTGATTTCTTATAATCCCCTTCTTTCTTTGTTGTAGGATACCCCTCCTCTCAGTATTTTGTGCTCCCCCCTTCCATGAATGTTAAGGTTCATGCAGAGCATTTTGTCTCTAGCATGCCTTGCCCTCTATGGGCTTCAGATCAGTTTGCTTTAGCCTACCATGAGGCTGAATTGCCCTTTTTTGATTCTCAACAGTTGGAATCAATTAGGCCTATGTAGGGGTGCGGACCTTGATTATCGTGTTAGTTTATCCCACGCCCAGTTTTCCCACAAGCCATTGAACCTGTAACTCATCCTTCTCCAGGTTTTTATTCCAGGCTGAATTGGTGGTTGGTCAGGGCTTTCATGTTGGCAGGTGTTATGCTTCTTCTCCCTCGTCTAGATTTACATGTCTTCAGAGATGCTTCCCTCCAGGGCTGGGGGGTGTAGGTCGATCAGCAGGAAGTGTCAGGTCTGTGGTCTCCAGCCAAGCAATCTTACCATATCAACATTCTGAAGCTTCCGGCCATACATTGTGCTTTGGACTATCCCATGGGTACTGGCACTGTGGGGGTGTGGTTAGCCAGATTTGCGCATCTGTGTGGTGCTTTTTCACCCAGGATACTTGGATTCTTCAGGTTCTAACAGAAGGTTTGTCTCTTCGTTTTTCTGCTCCTCTTCTTTATCTCCATGCCCCATTTCTTCCCCCTTCTCGGGATACACTTTCTTGTCAGCATTTCTCTGAAGCAGTTCGAGATGTCTTGAACAAGAATGCTATAGAGTGTTTCATCTTTTTCCTGGTTGTTCATTGTTCCAAAGAAGACTGGGATTGGCATCTTGTTATTAATCTGTACATCTTCAACCACTTCATCAACATCCTATGGTTCACAATGGAGTCTTTCCTCGCCCTCCAATAATTGTTCACTACAGGTCTATGGACAACCAGTGTCAACATATCGGATGCTTACCTTCATATCCTTATTTCTCCTGCATCCAGATGTAACCTTCAGTTTGTTAATGGGGGTCAGGTGTTTCAGTTCTGCACTATACCATTTGGTATGGCATTGGTGTCATATGTCTTCCATCTCGTGGTCAGAGCCTTTGCCCACCATATTCACAATCAAGTTTGTGGTTTCATCATTATATGACTCCTATTTGCTCCTTTCCAACAAGCCTCTCACAACCATACCCATTTCCTCCTACAGGAGGCAGCTTGGGTGGGATGGCTTGTCAAACAGGAGAAGTTCTATCTCGCCCCCACCCAGTATCTTTTTCATCTGGGGTTGTTTTTCAACACCTTCCTCAGCAGGGTCCAGCCTTTTCTTTTCATTTGAGGGCAATGGAGCTCTTGGTTTCCAAAGCCAAGTCTTCTCCTTGTCTTGCTGCATGCAAGGTTCTTTCTCTTTTGGGGGTTTTGGCTTCTATGGAATCCTTTGTCCCTTGGGGTCATGCACACATGCATTGCCTGAAGTGGATGCTGCATGATCAACAGAATCTCGTTTGGGATCACTTGGACTCTGTCATCCGCCTCCCTCCTTCCTTACAAGTCAACTTTGCCTGGTGGCTCGACAGGGACAGTGCCTCCTCCCCCTCCCAACTTGCATCTCTTTATAGACGCTTCTCTTACTGGATGAGGAGTGTATTTGGATTCTCAGGAGATAGCCAGTTGATGGTCGATTCTTCCCTACACATCAACTCCTAGCTATTTGTTGAGCATTGGATAATTTCGTGCCAATATTACTGGGCCACCTGGTCATAACTGATTCCAACAGTTTGACTGGGTCTCTTTTTCTGGGCTCATTCTCAGCAGGTCCATCTTCTCATCACATCCCGGGTGCTGCAAAAAGAGTGGTCTTTTGCTTCTCAAGTGTTTCAGTGGTTATGCCCCAGGTTGGTTAGCGCCTTTCTGGATGCATTTGCAACCCAGCTCAGTACAAAACTTCACTTCTTCTGATCTTTTGTTCTGCATCCTTTGGCTTTAGCAATGGATGCCTTCAGTCAGGATTGGACCACTTTACCTTTATACCTGTATACTTATACCTGTATACTTATCTTCCCATCCATCTTCTTCCCCGCATTTTCTCTCTTTTATATAAACCACTACATGTCGAGTCATTCTCATTGCCCCATTGTGGCCTGAACAACCTTGTTTTCCACTGTTAAACCACCTTTGATCATCTCCTCCCGTACCTCTTCCACTTTTCCAATCCATTCTCTGGCAACCTCAGTCCTCTGTCTTTCATCCCATTGTAGCCACACTCTGTCTTCATGCATTAATTTTGTGCAGTCCCTTGCAAAAGTTCCAGATTCTACATGGGTAACCTTCCTTCTTTCTTGCTGGGTCTGCTCATCTTCTTCTTTGATGGTTTACCAGAGTAACTGGTTCATTTTCCATCATTGCCCATTGTTCAATGGCCTCTCACCTTCCCAACCTAGTGCTCACCATCTCTCCAATTTTTTTAATTGGCTTTTAGACAATGGGTTATCTGTTTCTACCATTATGGGCTATAGGGTGGTCTTATCCAGTACCTTTCATTTTTCCTGCTTTCTTCATAATTTTTCCTCTCCTCTTTCACTTCTTTTCCCTGATTCGTCTGCTCTCCCCAGTTCTACCAGGTTGGAATCTCAATGTTGTCCTTCAAACCCTTACTCTTTCTCCCTTTGAGCCTTTGACCTCTTGCTCTTTGTACCACCTCTCCCTCAAGATGTATTTCTTACTCCTCTCTGTGTTTGGACATTGTAATTCCGATATCTTTACTGTCGACATCTCCTGTATTCTGTCACCATACTTATGTACTCCTTTATCCAGATCGTAGTCAGTGGTGTTTGAAAGGAACATTATTTTCACTCCTATTTCCCACCCCTCCATCTCTTATTTTAATTACAGATCTGTTCTGGATCATCTTCTTTGTCTAGCATGGGCTCTGCATTGTTATGTCATCTGCACAGCTTCCTTCATGGCTCTTGTTCCTGTCTTTTCTTACCCTGTAATTCCTCCTTTACCCACGAGATTTCTCCTGTTACCCATACTGGATGGATTTGCCAGTTTATTTGTCTCGCTTATTCGTCATTATCCAAGGTTCTGGTCGTATTTTCTACATTGTCTCCCACCAGATCCCTCATCTCACCTCTTCCATGGCTGACCACTTCCATCATCCATGGGAAGAGAATGTGCAGGCACTTATTGCCCACTACCTGCATCATTTGGCCATCTCCTCCTCATATGGCTATCACTTGTCGCTCGTGGTCATTCTCCACACCTCATTTTGACTCTGAAAGCTTAGGTTCTTACTTTTTTATTTCTTTCCTTTACAGTGGCCCTTTCTATTTTTCTATATCCTGCTCTGTGGCAAGTGGTACCTGTACAAGTATACTTAATATAAATCTGCACCATACAGCTGTATTGGTCTATAATGCTTACTGAAGAGATGGGTGTTCCACAAGACCACTGGAAGTTGCCTCGCTGTATTTTGTTTCATAAATAAGACTCACACCAGATTGTACCAACTCATGAACTATCCTGAGTAATGCAGTGTCAGGATTGCTGCCCATCCCTCAAACTAGGGTTTTCCTGGTCACCCATTACACTGTCTTACTGCTGTGTTCCTCCAGAATCCCTACAGCATTGTTACCTCCCATATGGGAGTCCTTGCTACTTACCAGTTCCTAGCCACTGGTGTGTTGGACCATTGATGCTTCATCCCGAGTGTGATCAATATCACTCAGTCAAGAGGAGGGCAATGGTGTTTTTTTGGTGTAGATGGGGAGTACTCTCCTCCTACTGTGTTTTGGATTGGACAAATCCACCACATACAGTTCACTCCTTCTGGCTGGCTTTCCCCATCCTACTGCCACCTGGAAGTTGGTTCTCGGGCTGTTTGGTGTTGGATCTCTGTAGGACCAGCCAACATAAGTTCTCACATGTGTGGTTGGTAGAGGTCCTCCTCCTACCTCAGAATGGACAAAAAATGTTATAAAGATGTTTGAGACTAAGTATACTGTTAATACCACTTATTGGGTGTGTATTTCAAACTCTTAAGAGATTCACAAAAAATATCATAAATACAATACTTTGTGTACCTTGTTTTCTAAAGAATCACCACAACTACTCTTATGGTTCAAAGTTAGCAAGTATTTATCTTATTGTAAAATATTCTGCCTTTATCACTTCAAACAAGGCATTTAAAATGTCTTTTTTATTATTTAACTGAAAGTTTGGAATAAAAAGGGTAATAATTATGTGCCATAAAAGTTTGATTGGTCTCAAAACCTTGTGTTTCTGCTTAATAAAATAAGCTATAATTTTGTAATTTTTTAAAGCTAGTACTGTTTGTTATCATATGTATGTGTATATATATATATAGATACATATGCACTTCTTCAGTTACTTTTATGAAGTAGTGGAAAAATGCAAAAGTTTTTGTCCTTATTATGTGTTTTTTATTTCATAAAATGCTGTTTTTTGTGACTGTTGTGGGAAAAACAATGAGAAACAAATTAAAAGTTGTATTTCCATTAATTTTATTTAATCTGTTCAGTTTTCAGCTTGTTAAAAAGGAACAATATTTTCCTCCATTTAGTGATAATTTTTCTAAAACAATTGTCCAAGTTTATTAGTTTTCCAATTCATTTTTAAAAATAACACTTTCCTTTTTGTTTAGAAATAATTTAAAACAAATTAAGTTATACAGTTTTGTTAATTATTATTTCATCATTTTGTTCAGGTAGCAACTCGAATAATGAAATTTATGATAGACAACTTTGGGGTTAGCAACCTTTTTGGACGAGAGAATTATGAATACTATGCACGTATAACAGGACATGTATTAAAAGTTGAAGAAGATTGGGTTTTTGCCTTCCGTTATCCACCAGATAGTCTTTTATCTCGTAAGTTTAAGATTATTTCACTTTTTCTCACTCTTTTAACTAAATATTTTTTTCCCATTTTTAAGCTTCATTATTTTTTTTATTTTTGAGAGGCATAAGTTAAACACTTAAATATGTAGGTACTATCTGACTTTTTGCTAGAGACATTTTTTAGGGCTAGTCATGACCTACTGGTTAGCATCCTCAGACTGTGGTTTTGAGGGTTCTTGGTTTGTGGCATGTTGCCCCTAAAACAAATTCCATAATTTGGGACTGTGGATGTATTATAAAGCTGATGGTAAAATCTCACTATTCATTCAGAAAAGTGTAGCTCAAGGTTTGGCAATGGGTGCTGTTGACTAACTACCTTTCTTCTAGTTTATCAGTTTAACAGTAGGGATGGTTTTGTATGGATAGTTTATTATGTAGCTTGGCATGAAAAATCTAAAACAAACACTTTTTGAAGTGACTAACACCCTGTTATTATTAAGTGTACCAGTATCTTTCATCATGTACTATTACTTTCAGAATGAACAAAGCTGTGCTTAATGATCAAAAGTAGTAGTTAATAACTTTGCTCTTTCAGATGTATTATTTCAAGAAATTAATTTTTGATATTTATGTTTTTATCAGACTTTGAAAAAAAAGTATTTGATTCAAAAATTTTTGTGAAAAGTACAAATCTTCTTCCCTTAAAGTTTAGATAGTTAGAATAATAAATTAATTATTTTTGCAGAATAGAGGATAATTTTTTTTCAAGTAGAAATGTCTACTATGTAAACATTTGCTTAAAATGTTTTTACATTTCTTTCTTGACTCTTCACAAGTGTGCATAATGTAGATTTTGTGAATTATTTCCTTCAGTGATGAATTAGATATACAAAATCTTATCCATGAATAAAATACTTATGTTTTTAGTATATCATGTTTATAAGTTTCGTCAACATGTAGTAAAAAAAATTAGGAACGTAAATTAACTAAAAGAGGTTTTAACACTTTTTATGACATTATGATTCAGAAACCAATCAGTAGCCTTACTAGTACATGATGTCAGAAAAACACGTAGGTTCAAGAAGTCTTAATATAAAATGATAAAAACCCTATAACCCAAACGCTTTCAAAATGTGGACCTTTTTTCTTCAGGGATAAACTGGGAATGATGGTGTAACTGAATGAGTAGTATATTAAGGGAGTTGAGTGACATCATGAAAGAACATGGCTGGAAAAGAGAGTGTTATGTAAAAACAAATTAGAGATGTTTTGCTTTACAAATGGTCAAGAAAAACTATATTTAAGTGTTGTTAAAGTAAAATATAGGTGACACATGGAGATTGACTGAAAAAAAAATTTTAAGGAGATCAATTTGTAAAGAAAGTTATGGAAAATTATCACAAATAAATAGCAAGTATTAGAAAGGTTAGGGGTAAACATGAGAGTTCACACTACATGAAAAAAATAAATTAATAAAAATTATTTTTCTGACAGAGAACAAACTATTCTGTGATAGGGTGTAAGTTGCTTGAACAAGACACCCCACCAAAAAATGGTCATCATTCATGTAATAAAGCTTGTTGTCAAACCTGAAAATTCATAAAAACCACTGACAATTTTTCTGACAAGTACATTGAGAGAAACATGAAACTTTCTAAAGAAATTTCTTGCACAACACAAAATACCATTTACCTTATATAGTGTAAAAAAATGCAATCACCAGTATGTAGGGCAGAGCCAAAATGACTCTTAGAGAACATTTCAACAACCATAAGTCTTCTATTAAGAATGTTATTCTAGCCAGCATTGAAACTGACTTTAAAGCTTAAATTAAAGCTTATAGAGAGATAAAAGCTTATTGGATTTCTAATCTAAATACTGTTTATCCTAGTGGAACAAATCTAGATCCTGGAATCAGTGATCTCCAATCATTGGTTTATTCTCTGTCAGAAAAATAATTTTTATTAATTTATTTTTTTACGTAGTGTGAACTCTCAATGTTTACCCCTATTTTTCTAATACTTACTTTTTATGTGTGATAATTTCTCATGCCTGTCTTTATAAATTGATCTACTTAACATTTCTTTTTCAGTCAATCTCCATGTGTCACCTATATTTTACTTTAACAACACTTAAATATTGTTTTCCTTGACCATTTGTAAAGCAAAACATCTCAAACACCTTTTTACAGAACACACTCATTTCCAGCCATGTTGCACTGTACATGAGACATGCTTAACAACAGTACATTGAAATATATGCAAAAACACTTCCTGGAAGCCCAGGTGTTCTTCATGACGTCACTCAACTCCCTTTATATATATAACTCATTCAGTTACACCACCATTCCCAGTTTACCCCTGAAGAAGAAAGGTCCACCTTTCAAAAGCACTTGGGTTATAGGGTTTTTATCATCTTACAGATATGTAGATAGTTAAAACTATTTGATTCCAAAATAATGCTAGTATAGGTTAGGCTATGTGGTTTTTTAATTCTTCAGCTAACAATCTTTGTTTTACCATACAACCTGTTAGCTCACTTTGAATAAGGAAATCTATACCATGTCAATTTAATGCAACCTGTCTTAACAGATAATTATTTTAGCACACTGTAAATAGTGTATTTTTAGTAATGGGTTGATAGAAAGAAAACTTTTGTTTTACAACTTTCAGCATTTGTTTTTTGAGGTGAATTTAATTTATAATCTTATTATTGTCTCTCATTTTTGTCATATAAATTAGCCATCTTTTATTTTGTGTTTCTCATGCTGATAAAAAAAATATGCCCTTTCAAATAATCTTTTTTAATTATCAAAGTTACATCCTCATTCAGTAGCATTGCAAGTTATATTTTAGTCTATAACTTAAAATAGTTTACTCATCTGTAAAATAATTTGATATTAAATATGAAAATTGGTGAGAAATAATGGTTACAGGAGCTGGACATTTCTGTGGGCTCTCTAGCTCACACAACCATCAAAAGGTTATTATACAGTGTTGTGGTAACACTGATGATCCCTCCTAAAGTCAGCTTCTGTTTCTAGCAGGACTAACTTTAGACATATTGAGCATTTCAATTCTTGCACTTCTGAGGTTAAAATCAAAATTATTTTAATGGAAAAACTTTATATTCTTTATTTAGGCTCATATGTGACAGAAATGCAAAATTCTAAAGTGCTGTTATTGTTCGAAATGTATTTGCGAGATGATAAGTATTGTATGTTGGAACTGTGAAATAATTACACATTTTTGTTTCTGAATTTTCAGGTGATAGAGATATTAACCAATATATGTATGTATGTGTACATATATATATACTTCTAATATATTTATAAGCACATTATAAAACTGTAGATATGTATCAAATATATAATATGCATACATTTATATTTAGTAAGCATAATCTTGAATTAAATATCAGTATGATATGTTATTGTAATATCTAGTATCTAGTTTACAAACACTATGTATGTTTGCACTGTATGTAAATCATTAATCTTTATTATTTTGCTGCTCAAGATTATCTGGGAATTTTATTGCATTGCTTTCATATTGAATTATAAAACTCACCAAATAGTATTAACAAAATGTCAGTGAGTTATGTTGAAGGATCACAGATGTATCACATACCATGTGAAATGGGAAGCTAAAGGAGAAAGCTCTTATCAGGACCATGTAATGATGATCTAAGAAGACACTTACATAGAGAAGAAAACTTCTGCCACACTTGTATGCTTCTGTACATCTGTTATATGATACTCATTCCAAATGTTCTATTTCATAAACTCTTGTGGTATCAAACCTTTTGTTCCATCAAAGTTTAAAATCACGGAGGATATGCATCCCAGTTTGAAACACTATTTATCATTTACCATTGTTTTGTGGTATAAGTTGTGTTTTCCCCTTTTTTCGTTTTGATTTAACTATACCACAGTAGTCTTTGTATGACTTTAGATTTAGATGTATCAGCTATCAAGAACTGATATTTAACAACATCTGTCCTCTTGCACAGGATCTGTTGGCAGAGGGGAACAATGATGTACCATTCCTAGCCTTAGATGGCGCATAAGTGTATGTATAGAAAAATGTTTCAAGTAAGATGTTCTCTTTCTCTCTGTCTGAATTCAACATGAAAGTCAGAGTGACTTACTTATACTAGCATGGTACTACTTATGCTATGCAACTGCAAAAGTGGGATATTCTTCACACGTAGCATCAGTAATGTAGTTCCTGGAACTCAAATGGTATGAGAAACTAAGGCTCACAAGACCACCTTTCATACCAGAAGGTGTTCAGGATGGTGTGACAATCATCAGTGACATTTCTGATGAATCAGACAAAGAATGAAAGTTGAATGTGAACACTTAGTATACATGACATGTGGAATGTTACATTTTTGTTGGTGAGTTATGGTACACACAATATATGTAAATAACTAAATTTGAAGAGTGGGGGAAACTTCTATCTTGCAGAACATTTCACAACAGTGAAAGTTATAATATGTGATAATTTTCATGTGGTACATATTATTTAAACAGTAGTATCAAATTTGTTTAATTTTGATATTATTGTATAATTAATATTGAACCTTGAATATGAAATTAAACAGATGTGACATAAAACAAGCAGTTGATATTACACATAAATATACTTGAAATCTCGAAAGAAATTTGAAATTTTTGTAATTTTTTGTCCAATCAATCTATTTATTGTTAGAGTTTTGATAAGTTTTATTAATTCTGTTTAGGCAAGATAATTTCAGCAAATGTATTGAAGACAAAGCTTAAGGTAATCAATAACATTGCCATAAGTGGTTTGGTGTATGAGCTTAACAGATTTTATATTGAAATCTGCAAAAATGTGAGCTGCTTGTGATTAATACAAGTATGTTTTTATCATGAAAGTGTTAGGGAAATGGTGTGAGAGTTCAGGCTCAATAAAACTACCACTGTTTAAATACAAGCACAACTTTGTTGCAAAGTTCAACCAAGTGCTTTCATGATATAAAGCACTTTACTAAACAGACCATCCAATGAAAAATTATTTTGGCAGAAAAAGCTTTGGGTAATTAGTACTAAAACATGATTAACATGGCTTGTTTGCACTTAATCAGTTTTTTATAATAGTTGTAATGTTGGTAATAACTATTATTGTCTCTGTAATTGTAAGAACTAACAAGGATGCTGCATGAATATATATATATGTATTCTTCATTTAACCTTTCTGAACAGTGATAACAGTTCATCTTAATGTAATCTAACATGTTGAAGATACTCTAAATTGTTTATGTGCTTCTTGTGAAACTTACACTGCAACACACAAGCAGTCATGTTCTCACCCTCCAGGAAAAGCCTCCTTAGAGGCTGAAAAATTGTGGCTTCGTCAGGAGGCTGAACGATGGGGGCTAAGAGTTAATTTGGAAGGTAAGGTGTTCTCCCCACATATAGTTGCTTTCTATGTAGCTGTAGTTTTTGCTACCCAAGATCTCTGATTGTGCCATCTCTATCCTATTTACCAGCATGGATTTGAAGCATGTTGAATTGGGTATTATAGAACTATTACAGTAGTTGTGATGTGTGCATGTAAGATCTAACAGGAAAATCACATTGAATCAGCATTGCATATAGCACTTGAAAAATGTAACATGAAATTGCATCAGTAGATAAAAAATTTGTCTAATATTTCTGATTCATGAATTTCAGGCCTGACCAGAGTAAAATATTTTTGGGTAGATATCTCTAAAATTTGATAAATTCAAATCAGAAGCAAGTTTAGAATCATGAATTTTTTTCAAATTAAGATGTTTCAATATCAACTGGAGGTACACGTATTGTTGATATTCATTGTGGAGATATGTCTTTACTTCTCACAATTTTTATGTAATTTGTAACAGAAAATTCACATTGAATCATTATTGCATATGGTGCTTGGACATTGTAACACAAAATTATATAAGTAGAAAAAACGTTTTTTAATAGTTTTGTTTCATGAAAACTGGAAAGTTAAAATTTTCCTTACCTAAAACACAGAATAGCTTGATCCCTCGTGCATCTGCCAATGAGATTGGCATGCCACTAGCCTTGAGGCAACTCCCACCTAATACCTGTTTTGATGTGAACTGTAAGTGCATAATGATGTCATCATGTGACAAAAGCCCTCTACCAATAAGAGAGAGAGAGAGAGAGACAGTCTCCATGCACAGAAACTCCCTCATACATACTTGCACTCATGATAACTTCATTCTTCTCCTCAACATTGTATTGAACAGACATGCTTAATTTTTTCTCTGAGCCTTTGATTTTATTTCAAAAGCTTTAATGTTTTTCTTGAATTTTCAAATGATGATGACTTATACCTACCTAGTCCTATGTGAGTGACGTTATTCACACACTGGCCTTATTTCTATTATGGATTTTGGAGACTCATTAATTGTCAGGGGAATTACAGGTATTGTTCAATGTGTTGTGGATTTAACACATGCTTAATGGGCCTCCTACTCCCATCCCATCAAGTGAAATTCTTTCTCCTCAGACAGAAATGGTTTTGCTTTCGGGAAACCAACCTCTGTTTGTATTTCTTTGTCAGGTATGTTCCTTTCCTTATCTTTGCCTGTGTCCTTTCATATTTTTCGTTTCTTTACTCCACATTCCACAGTTCTTGGGTTTTACCTTGTCTACCCTCCTGTCTCACACCCAAATGCCTTCTTCCCTTCACATCCCAGACTTTTTTTTGTTCTGACTTGTAGAATTTCTTCCCTTCCTTTTCTCGATTCTCTATCCTTGGTGTCTATTTGGCCAGCTTGGAAATTGGGTCCCTTACCTTATATTTTGCTTTCTGGTAACCCATTTTCACGTTTTTGTCTTTTTTCTCATTACCATTCTGTATTCCCTCTACTACATCCACCTTTTGTCTGAGGCACTACATCGTGCTTCAGATAGTTTTTCTGTACATGTTCATTCCCTTCTCTTTGCCAATTGCTCTATCATTTCTTATTTTGTTCCTCTGAAGATTGGTTTGATTACATTACTCTTTACTGTACTCCTTCCTCCTTGGGTGCATGGTATTTGCCAGGCTTCCTTTCTTCACTCAGATGTTTTCATTGGTAGTCATTTCTCCCTGATGGATTGAACTGACATTATATGGCTTCAGTCCTCATTATCTTCCCAGGTTTTTCTTCTTTCTCGACCTTGCCGTTTACTCGTGTTCCTCGACTGGATCAGTCTAACCCTAACCTTCACATTTCAGATTTTCCTCTTTTTCTTGTCCTTCCTCCACCAGAAATCTAATTCATTGCTCTTCTTGTCAATGACTATCAGACATATATGATCCTATGGGTACCATCTCTTTTCCTGCTGTTTTGGTCTCATTTTCTGCCAACAGTCGTTTTTCATTTCTCCGCTCTGGTCTCTGCGTTTTCTTCTCTTGTCATTTCCTTTTCTCTTCCTCCTCTGTGATCTTTCTTATCTAGTCTGCAGCTGGCCATGGTTGATTTGTTGGACACCTTTCTACACATCACTATTGTTCTGTTCTCTGTATGTTTACTCCTCTTTGCCTGTGAGCTATAGTGTCTTTGTTCACCAGGTTCACACTCTGGCTTCCCTGGAACCCCTCATTTCTATGGAGTGTGCACACATTGCACCTTTTCCAGTTGACCTTGTAGATTCTTGGATTTCTTTCTTGGTCTCTATTGTCCTTGTTTGTGATTCTCTCCTCAGAGAAATATCATGATGACTGGACCATGCCCATACTACTTCTGTTGTTCCATTACCAACTCTCAAACTGGAACTGTTTCTTCACTGATGCATCCCTATCTGGATGAGGGCATTGCTTCTGTCAATTGGATACAGCATTCACTTCCCATTTGTGTGTTCAATCTATTCACTACTGCTCAATCTACTGCTGGTAGATCACTCGGTGAATTCCATGATAATTTCTTTCACCAACCATCTGAGAGGCACCCGCTCTAAGACCCTTTGCTTTTGGGTGTTGGAAATACTCTTCTGGGCCCATTCACATTGGATTTATTTTGTTATCTGTCATTTGTTGGGAGCTAAGAACTTGTTAGCAGACTACCTCTCATGATCAGTCTGCATTTTACCAATGGAATGGTCTGTATACCCCCCCCCTCCCCCCAGGTATTTTGTTGTGTTTGCTGTTGGTTGGGCATACCCTTCATAGATGCCTTTGCCACCCTACTTAACTCCTGGCTTCCTCTCTTCTGGTCCCTTGTTCTTCATCCTATAGCTCTAGCTGTTGGTGCTTGCAACTGGGCCTAGTCTCACCTCATTCTATATGCCTATTCCTCTTCTTGTCTCTTCCCTTGGATCCTTGTCTTTACACATGACTCTTCTTGTCAGGTTATATTATTGGTGGCTCCTTGGCCAGCTCAGCCTTGGTTCACTTAGCATTCAGACTTCCCTTCATCTCCCCAGTCCCTCTCTCTTGCTCCACCCTCACATATCCCCTTTTCATTAAGGGATATCTTTCCTCTACTGCCATCACACCATACTTTCCAATTGTGCAGCATTCTTTGTGTCACATTCCTGTCACCTTTCCACTGTATTTGTCTATCACAAACAGTGGCAAGTCTTTTGTCATTAGTTCATCCACCACTCCTTTCACCCGAGGCTGTCATACAGTGAACCATATTTCTGCCTTTTGACCTGGCTGTTTGTTCAAGGTTTGTTAGTTTCTACCCTTACTAGTTGTTTGGTGGCCTTGCCCATGGCATCTCACCAAAAGGTGTTTCTTCCCCTGTCCTCTTTACTCATTTCTGCTCCTTTGTTCTCCTCATTCCTTCTTGCCTGACTTTCATGCCAGACTGAGACCTCAGTGGGGTTTTGCATGATCTTGTGTGCCCATTGGAGCCATTGACTTTTTGTACTATCTTTCTTTCCAGACTATTTCCTCCTCCTTCTCACCTGTGATTAACATCTTTTGGATGCATATGATGTGGATGCTTTTTGCATTCTTTTCCACTGCACTTATATTCTCCTATTCCCAGACCAACCTTTCCTTGCTCAGACTTCAACAGCTCAGGAAGGTAACAATGCTTTCTCTCCTATCTCCCTTCTGTTTTCATCTCTTTGATCATGCAGACCTGATTCAATGCCTGTAACTTGTTTGGCTGTTCGGTGTTTCTTATCACAGACCTCTCCATTTTGGGGTCATTGCCATCTGTCCCTATTCTGGGACCTTTCTTCTTCCAGGGTACTCTCTCCTTCTGTTCTTACTGGTTGTGTCTGTAGACTTCTCTGGATGTGAATACCTTCAGGCTAATTCACATTTATGTGTATTCAATTTATCACTTTTCTAATTTTTTTGCATTTACTCTTTTCCAGCCTTAGGTTGAGATTTTCATGATGGGTATGTGAATGACTCTCCACACATTCATCTCTTTATTTATACCATCTGGCTGTTTTGTCTCCTGATGGATTTCGACTTCTACCAGTCACCATTCTTCAATCACCCCACCATCTTTATGAAGAATGAATATAATTTCTTTTTCAGTGCCCCTTTTTAATTTCATAGGATCCACCAGGTGGCTGATGTTGCCTCCCAGGGTATACTTACCCAAAATTTGCGTCATACCAGAATGATTGAAATTGCTCATAACAATTGCCGTGACTCTGCCATTGTTCACTGTTGAGACGGGGGTGTTCTACAAGACCACTTGAGGTATCCTCGTGGTATATATATTTACTCTGTTATCCAATCCAGACCATACCATTCCATAGACTATTATGGAAAAAGCCAGCACCAAGGAAGAGATTGCCAACTTCGTTGGCTCACACTTGCTGGCTTTTCAAAATAGGGATTTGCAGCCATCCATTGCACCTTATCCAGTAAAAGACTTTTTTCAGTAGATGTTCAAAAGAGATGTGGGCAATTCTCCAGGTCTCCTCAATGATAATTCTCCCCCCCCCCCCATTTCTTCAAGTTGAGCATAGGACATCCATGTCACTTTACCAATTTCTAGTGACTGGGGTGGTGGACCTTGGAGAGTTTCTCACTGATCGTTTACAGCACAATACAGTGGAAAGTATAGTGGTGGTAGCACTGTCTGTGTGGTGCAGATTGCCCCTCTAACAGCTAGTGTGTCCTTCTGAAGTAGAACAAGTTCATCACCCCGTCTCTGTCTATCTATTTCATTCAAGGTGAGACACATATAGTAAGGTCTGATCATGTCCAAACCTCACCACACCTCTTGGCTCACTGATCACTTGTATGAGGGTGCTCAGTTGGTGATGAAAAAAAATTCTGCCCATCCCTGCAACACTTAAAGATCTTTTGCCTTTCCCCCTCTTCTTTCTGGGTAGATAGTATACCTTGGTCGAGATGAGATGCAATTTCCTGTGAGGATGCTCCTATAGAGCTCCTGCCATAAGATGTCACTCTCCATGGACTTTTCCTTCAGGCACTCATCTAGGTTTAATATTTACACCCACTCCTCCACCATTTCAGTGTGGGATTCTAGCTATTCTGTGTGAAGAAGTGAGGTATTGTCTTAGAAGTTAACATTTTCTTTACCAGAAAAGGTATTTACAATAGATATTCACCTCCAAACACCATCTCACCCATCCTTCTCACTTCTGGTACACTTTCTTCTTGCCTCATCTAAGAATGAATTTATTTCGAGCACAAGTGCTTAAGAGGAGTTTCTATGCAAAGAGGTTGTGTCACCCTCCTATTGTTGGAGAGCTATTGGCGGAAGATGAAATCATCATGCACTAACACACATCACGTTAAAGACATGATTTTTAAGTGGGAATTAGTTCAAGGTTTATGGCATGCCAATCTCATTGGCTGATTTAAGGAGTAAGCAAACTATTCTGTGTGTGGAGGTAAATATCTATCGGAAGTTATTTTTAGGTAAGGAAAATGTTAACTTTTCAGTTTTCATAGAAATTAATAAAAATTCGTAAAATTCTGTTTCTTTTTTATTTGCTTTTTTATTAAACTCATAAGTGGTATACTTAGACTGAGCTAGTATTCCATTACTCTTTCTTATCTTTGGAGTAATTTTTTACAATCATTTAAAATGTTAAAAGTTATTCAACAAGCATTTCTCAACATACAAAAATTGTACATGTTGTTGACAATGAAAATATAATAAATAGGAAATATTCAAGCAACAGCTTGAAATGTGCATTAAAACTTAATTATCTTCCACATCACTTACTGGTGTATCAACATAAAGTTTTCTCTAACAGCACACCATCATTGAAAGTAATTATTTAGATGATATTGTAATGGTTGGGAAAAATGAGGTACATTTTGGGACAGTGAAGCAAAGTGCTTTAGCTTATCATTTGTAAAAGGTTCTAGATATCCCAAAGACTTTAATTATATATACATGTAAAGGTTATATTGGTTAAATACAGAATAATTTCCTTTACTATCTTACTTATTGTGTGTGTAGAATAGTTGAGTGTAATACCTTCTAAACAAAACCAGAAGGATAGTGAGTTTATTAATTGCTGTTTGACAATACTAAATGTCAAGTTGATATTTTACATTTTATGAAATGAAATATTTAACAAAACGTTATTTGTGTAATTGTATAATGAATAGTAGGCTTAAGAAATTAAGAATTAATTAATATAAAGAATGTGTTAAATAAATTAAATTCACAAAGTTCACTTTAGAATCTGTCATTCACTTTATATACATCTAGTAATTAGTCCCAATTATCTGGAAATAAGAGTGACAGTGATACTTCAGACTTAAATTAATGTTTGGAGAGATTGTGGCATGCATCAAAATACTGGCATATGGCACAGTGCCATCCTGAGATGGCCATACTGTTGCAAGATTAATGAAAAATGCTGTGCCATTTTGAAATGGTGTATTATAAGTTCATTACTATTTGATTCAAGAAGAAGTATTAAATAAGACATAGAAATAGTGAGTTCATTAGTACGTAATTTAATATGGGGGAATGATTGCCACACCTATGAAACAACTCACTATCTGGTTTAATACAGTTGGTTGATTATAACACCAATGAAACAAATACAGAATAGCAAATTCTTTATGGACTAACTTAATTTGAAGAGTGGAATAAAATATATATTTAATAAAACCAGAAAGCTAGCAAGTTTCTTATGGATTGATTCAATTTGAATAGATGAATAAGATGGCTGTTAAACAAATCCAAAATAATAGTGAGTTTATTACTGTCTGTTTCAGTATGGAACATTGTTTATATCATTTTTGAAACAAATATTCAGAGGATAGTGAGTTAGTTATTGTTTGATTTAGCAATGAAATATTGAATAAGACACTCATTGCAGTAACTAAAGTAGAAGATACTGAGCTTGTTAGTATCTAATTCAAAGTTGAATACGGTACCTAATAGGCCAAGATATATTGTACTGAGTTAATTACCTTGTCATTTGATATGAAGAAGTAGAATAAGACACCTCATAAACATACAGAGAATTGTTTGTTTGTTACTACCTGATTTAACTTGGAGTATTTGAATAAGTCACCTCCTAAGCATACAGGAAATATTTTGCTCATTATAATCTTATTTAATGTGAGAGAAGTTGAATAAGACATATTCCAAATGTACAAAGAAGAGTAAGTTCATTTTTTTTCGTAAAGAAATCTGAATATGGTTCTTATTAAATAAAAACTAATATTTTATTGTGCAATCATCTCTAAACAACCTACTTTTTTGTACTGGCAGTATGAAGAGTTGTGAGTGATATTTATTTAGCTGAATTAACTGATGCTATTGTTCATGATTAAATGTCAATGTGAAAATGTTTGAAAACACAAAGTAGGTCACAGGTAGTTATTCTGGAATGTTTATTACATTATAATGTTAACTGATATTGGGAAATTTCTGTTAACAGCTAGTGAAAGTATGCTAGTTAAGCTGATCATTTTTATTTTGATCTAGTATTTGAGTTTTTGAAATTTATTCTAGCATCAAGGAAAAGGAAATATGAACTAGGCTAATGGTATTTACTAAAATATGATTTAACTATATTTTAAATGCTACAACTAAAATATAACTAAAACTTGTGTTTTGGGTGCTATCATATGTGTAACACATGATCTTATTTCAAAATTTGACAGGGAAAGTGGTTATCTTTATAATTCTTTCATACATCATTTCAATTTAAAACAAGTTTATGTACTACAATAGAGTTAATTCAAATATCACAAAGTTTTCAATGTGTTTTTCCTCAGTTTTAAATGTAGTTTCATTTTTCATTCCTGTTTTTGTTTGATCTTGACAACATTATCCTATTAATTTCGTCTGACCATTTTAGACATTTCACTTTTTAGCTTGCTATTCTTAGTGAAGTCTTAAATAGTAATTTAATGTGTCATTATTAAGCCAAATTGAATATATAATGCTATGATATAATTTTTTATTAAAACAGACTTAGAAGTTGAATAAGCTGCTTAAACTTAAAATGTAATAAATTTAAAAATCATTAATGGTTTTAAATTCTGCAAATTATGGTTATGAATAGCCACAGGAAACCTTTACTACATTTTATGATATTGTGCTTGCATGTTCTTTTAATACTGAAGGATCTTTGGCTGTGTTATGACACTTAAATAGTAATTGTGAGAAATTTCATTTGATATAACATTTTTTGTGAATATATTCATATAATTGCTATAAAAAAAAAGAACTGCAGAAAGATAGTTTTTATACTTCAACAAACTAAACTGTAGTAAGAAAGGTAGTTAATATATAACTAAAACAGTATGTCATATGAAATTACCATAAAGCACCTTACTTTATAAAAATATTTAAACAAAAACGTTTTTTTTATCTTGAAGTATAAATTATTGGTTAAGGAAAAAATTATGAGGGATTCTTTTTTTTTTCAGCTTTATCTTCACAAGAGGAATGCCAAAGTACCCCAGCTCTCCTCCATGCTAGTGAACCAATGGTTATGGCTGAGGGGCCACCACCTAGTGGAAGTCTTACAAACTTAGCAGAGGGATATCCTCGTTTGAGCTTGTCTCTGGAAGAGAACGGTCTTTACAAAGTAAGTAAATAAATTGAGTGTTTTTAAATCATAATGTTTATGTTTGTTAATCATATGATTATTAAGATAAATTTAGAGACTATAATTAACTTCAAAATGGCCTGGCATGGCCAGGTGGTTAGGGCACTCGACTCGCAATCTGAGGGTCGCGGGTTCGAATCCCTGTCACACCAAACATGCTCACCCTTTCAGCCGTGGAGGTGTTATAAAGTGATGGTCAATCCCACTATTCGTTGGTAAAAGAGCAGCCCAAGATTTGGTGGTGGGTGGTGATGACTAGCTGCCTTCCCTCTAGTCTTACACTGCTAAATTAGAGACGGCTAGTGCAGATAGCCCTCGTGTAGCTTTGCACGAAATTCAAAAACAAACAATTAACTTCAATTATCTAGTCGGAAATTTTGATAGTAGGACAGTAAACGAATTTGTGGCTGGAAAAATCAAAGTAAAAGTATGTAGAATATCTGATTTACAGCAGTGATACAATTTCAAGTTCAAAGTGGAACACTCTTTTTTCCATTTGAGACTGAATTTCTGATAAGAGAGTTTAAACTTTTCCCAAATTTGTAATGTCATGAAAACAGATATAGATAACTTTCACAATATTTATTTACCACTGGGCAAAATAAGATGTTTTTCTACTCACTAATCTATAAACTACTTTTGTTAACGTGACATATTTTTTCAGTTTCATTTGGAACTTGGCTTTATTTAATTAGCTATGTAACTTTGCCTTTGTGGAAGTAAGTTTTTTTTCAGCAATATTTACAAGTAGGCCTGATGATTGCTATATTGCATTACTTCTGTGTAAACAAAAGAAAAAAAGAGTGTGTTTAAATTTACTTTTCTTAATAGCTGTTCATCTTGCACTATTCTTACAGTGTTTTAGATTTCTGAAAACTTGTATACTCTAACCTAATTTTACAATGTTGACCCTTTGTGGGCCGATGACCACCTTTAGGGTGTCAAGTATCAAATGTTTAAAATGTAAGTAGAAATAATAATTATAACTATTTCAACCCTTTTTCAGTCCAAAATATTCTTGAATTTATATTTTTTAATATTTACTTCATGTGATTTGCAAAGACAAATTTTATAAGTGTTCAAACTTATATTTTTGCTCAGCTCCATAAATTCTTGCCTGTAAACAGCTCAGTTTTAAGAATTTTTCTGATCATCCCAAAGCTTAGGCTTATATTTGCAAAGAACCTATTACCCTTGAGAAATAGTTATCAATGTTTGTTTCTCATTTGATTTTTGCTTCACTTTACCTGAATTTTATTACTATAGTTTTTTGGGTCCTACCCTATTATAACTTTACAGAAGTTGATTGAACAACTACTAATGAAACTCAGTTTTCAAGATAGCAACAGGCAAAGTTTACTACCATTGGATAGAGCTAATTAAAAATATTTATATCTTTATAGAGTGAGTAAAGTGGTATGAAAAGTAATTTATGGTTTTGTGGAAAACAATTAAATGTAGAAAACAATAAGAGAATGTAGTGAGAAGTTTAAAAGACTTGAGAATGAACTACAGATATGGGAATTTTCTTTAGTGCCTTTAAACATTATTTTTGTTCCTGTAAATTTTTTTGTGTTAAATTACATTTCTTTGATAGCTATGGAAAGTTTATTCTGCAACAAAACATTGAGTTAGCCTTATTAGGCTTAGAGAGTACAGTGGGTGATGCAAAATATTCTTATGAATAAAATGTAACTCAGATACTTATTTATTGAATGTTATTATTAAGTTTACCAAATTCAAATAATGCACATAAATAAAATAACTTACAAGTTATTAAAAAATAGTATATTCAAATCAAACCTCTGAATACTAAAGTCTTTCTTTGTTGAGTTTGAAGTCATGCTGTAAACAGAAAGTGGCTCAGACTTTCAGAATGTTCTTTACACATTGCAAAGTATGTGTCACTTATCCATAATTCTCCAGTCTCCCATCTCCTATATTACTTGTTGTACAAACATCAGTGGATCATGCATAAGCTCTGCTTTCCTGCCATTATTTAGATTTTCTTATTGACAGTTGTGCTGTTAACTTTGCAGTGATGTTCCTTCTGTTGCAATCATTTTTGCACATTTTAATAACATGGTTTTTATCTTACTTATGAAATTTGCCTGTAGTGTGCAGTATAACATTGTAGCTGTATTGTAAGCTCTGATTGTACAATGTATTCATGCCATTATATATTGGTATTCCTGGCAGATATCCCAATTGGACACTTAATTTGCATGACACTTGAGATTTTCTTTTGTGTTTTTTTTTTTTTGGTTAAGGTCAATCTTTACCCGGGTTTTATCACCTTCAGAGACTATAGAGCTGGATTTGCTAGTGCTAATCCCAATAACACTTTTGGTGGTCTCTCTCTTTTTTTAATCTCAGGTTGTGTCATGTGAGATGACTTAGTACTTCAATCTGTTTTTATACTGATTATTTTTAATCAGGTTTACATACCTACTTTGATGTCTTCATTACCTACATGTCTCACTGATATTGTTTCTATTACCACTTAGCTCTTATGTTCCTTTGACACTTTTGCCTGTCAGGCTGTGTTGAAAGTAATTTGTGTTTTAATCAGCTGACCTCCATGTATATGTATATTTTTTAAAAAGTAAAAATACATTACTGCATTTTTGTCTTAGTAGGTATTTTATTTTAACTTGTTTCGTGTACAGGGGAATCTTGTCAGCAGGGTTTAATTATGGTTTTAGCATTTTATTATGGTGCTGGTCATCATTTCCTTCCAGAGTTCTGTGTATGATGTTTTTCAATGCTTGCTATATCTGCTCTTACTTTTTGTGTGTCCTAGCATCGATGTAAGCAAGGTGGGTCTTTATGACTTACTCATTGACTATTTGTTCTGGATGATTCCTACATCCAAACTTTTGAACATCATATCATATTTCCATTCATCTATGGATCCATAGCCTCATCAGATCCTTCAATTCAATTTTACATTCATTATCCTCTTCCAGTTTTGACTCTTTATTTTTATTTGATTTTGGATGTAGAAGATTCAAAACGTTTCTACAAAAAGGGGATATCAATGTTGTACTTCATGTTTCTCATGGGTTTTTACTCTTACCTCTTTGTGGTTACCAAGAAAGCAGGAGATTGGAGATTGATATTAGATTTTTTTCCATCTAATTTGTTTTCTAGAGTATTCCTACTTTCCTGCTGGAATCTACGAGGATCATATGAAACTTATTGGATATATCAAAAATGCTTACTTATATGTCCTGATTCACCCTGTTCTCATCACTATCTTTGTCTTCCACATTGTAGAGCAGTGTATCAGTTTATGGCCCCTCCCTTTTCAGTGTCGCTTTGGCACCCCATGTCTGTAAACTAGTGATTATTCTTCTACATATATCCAATATCGATTATCATAATTACATGGACGATTGTAGGGTTCCTGATCAGTCTTTAACTCGTATTGAATTGACCTTCCAATTAGCTTCTTCGCTGAGGTGAATTATTCATAAATCTAAGTCTCAGCCTATTGCCACTCAATATCTAGAGACAAATAAAGTTAAAACTGCATAGATAACAAAAATAACAAAATTAAATAATAGATTGAACAATTGCTAAGTTTTGTTAAATTCTTTTATTAAAAGAAGGATGACATTTCGAGCTAACAGTTTTCATCAAATCGTACAGTTTACAACAAAAGCCCTCTCTCCAGGGCTAGGGTAATATGCTGAAGGGAATGGAACTATCATCTTCTAAGATTTTTGTAACATTCTGTTGGAACTTTGATCTCCGTAACATGAATGTCAGTATCTATTTCATTTTGGATTTCATGTTAAATCTTTTCTAGGAACTTGTCACCTATCTTGTCTGGATTTGCAATCCCAAAAAATTTTGATGTGTATAATTCTCCATTTGCCAAACACATACTTTTTGAGTTTGAAACAGTGGCGTCTCTTTATGTGCTAATTCCCATGAATCATGCATACAGGAGACACTGTCCATGATACTTTGCCTCATTGTGGAATCTATCATCAGATCTGTTGTCCATTAAATTCCTCCTACCACACTTTATTACCTTCTAATATAGCTCATTTGTGAGTTTCCCATTATAAATTCTCCTGTCCTTCTTCCAGATCTTGATCTTTTCACTAGTATCTCTCTCTCCAGGGTTGGGGTAATATTTTGAGGGGAAGGGGGGCTGTCATCTTTCTCTCCTATAGTCTTCTAAGATTCTTGTAACATTCTGTTGGAACTTTGAGCTCTGCAACATGAATGTCAGACATTCCCACCCTTGTTTTACCACTGCTATGTTTTAGTACTTATAGACAATTGGATTGCAGTGGCATATATCAGTGGGCCGGGTGGGGTTCAATCTTACAGTGTTTGTTTGCTGTGGTCTCTCTCTCTACTTCTTTGACTACATTCACATCATATCTTTCTCTGTTCTGGTATTTCATTGACTGTGCTAACAGATCAGTCATCCTATGCTTGATACTTTTGCAACATCAATGCATCATCTTCTGATGCTTTACTGGTTTCTAGTTCTGGGTCCAGCTTCTCTAACAGTGGATACTTTGAGATCATCTTGGAAACATGTTCTTCATATTTTTTCTCAGGTATTGTCCCATTGTCTGGTTATTCTTACTGCCTTATGCTGGCCTATTCCAACATTGTTTCTACTACTGTCATTTCACAGGAATCCTATTTCATTACCTTCTTTATACATCTTCCACAACAACATTAATTATCTTCAGCTTCATGGCTGGCTGTTATGTGGTCCTTTGTTAATAAAGCTGCCTTCTCTTCTCGGGTAACTTGATTGTTTTCATGTTCTTGCAGATGTTCCTTCCTAGCTGTATACCCATCTCATTGATATGTCTTTAGGGGGTTTTTGCCTATAAAAATATGTTTCTTGTCTTTCTTCACCTCCTTAGTAGGTTACCTCATTTTTTTTTCATGTATTTCTTTCATGATTGAGGCTAATCTGCTTCTACTGCAGGCTACAGAACTAC